GATCTTTTTCCCATTTAGACAACATATTGAATCAATTAATTTGTCAATTAAAAAATATTCATTGATAATTATGCAAATTTCACAAAAATATACTTTTTGCATTAGGGGTTTGAACAGAGAGTTGGATGATATATCAAGTTATTTTACATTGAATAATTTTTAATAATTAACAGAGTTAAACAATTAAGTATCCACTAAACATACATGTACATTAATATGCGTGATTATATGCAGATCTACAAGAAACAACCAAGTATAAATTCAAGTTGCCGTTGTGTATAATGATTTGTGGGTCAAATGTTTTTCAAAAATATAATTCCTAATATATCAAAACCTAATGGATAATTATTAACATAAAATAAGTCATCACATTCAAAAAAGAAATAAATAAAAATAACATATAAATCTTGTCTCCCCCATACCCCAAACACACACACACACAGACACAAACAAACCTAAATGCACGTACATATACTGCACAGAGGAGGTTCGCCGCGGCGCGAAACTTTATAATATTTTTGTCATGATTAAATAATTATTTAGGTGCCCTAGTCATACAAAGTAAAATAAAAAAAAAAATAAAATAAAATAAAATTGATTGACTTCACATGTAAGTCAGATTAAGGTCAAATTCTACTGCGCGCAACTTGGTAGAAACCCACAAGAAAAAAAGAAAACCCCCACAAGTGGTTGAAGGAGTAATCATTTCCCATTTACGCAGTTCCAAAATATCATATATTCAAGAAACGGTGTATATATATCGATTGGACTTTTTTTTTTTTTTTTTTTTCTTTTCCTAAAAATAAAAATTAAATAGTTAATGTTACATTTAGTCTCGACAACACATGCATATATATTAAGAAAATATATTGGCAAAAATAAATAAATTAATTTAATAGAGATCACACTACTTTATTTAAAGTATTTCTCTTGTAGAAACTTGCGTGGGGATTGTTCATACTTCATAGCCGACGAAAGAGAGCCCTTTCCGTGGTATATTAATATTTAATATTATCTATCTTCGTAATTTAATGTCAATGGAATTTAGAGCGAACGATTTAAGATGGTGTTTGCAAAAGCATTTAGAAACTGATTTAGAGCTTTTGATAGATCATAATTTGATTGTTAGGTTATTCCAAAATTAGATTTTGTTTTTGCTTCTCTAAAAATAAATTGTTTTTTTTTTTATAAATATTCCTCCATTTGATTTTCTATTTAAGTTATTTTTCCAGCATATTATCAAACACCCTATTTTTTTTAGAAATAAGCATTTAATACATACTTAACTTTCAAGCAGTAACTACTGTTTTTCAATAAGTTCCTGCAAACACCACCTAAGCCCATGATATAAAATTATTCGAGTTTATTTGTATTGTAGATATTAATACTAAATGATACATTTCACTAACTGTTTAAGTTTTTGATTGAAGTTGCCATTCAACATGATATTAGAGTCATGCTAAATAAAATAATCCTGAGTTCAAAGGGCACAACTGCCCATCATTCAACAATTCGAATAATTCATTTTTTGCAAGAAATTTAAAAGTTTGACTTTAATTTGAACTATAGTTTTTAAATTTTTTTTGATGGATAATCCATTTTAAATTGTCATATAAAAATTTTTTTCTCTCAAAATTGCCTCATCCAATTCAAATGCAATCTTATTGCGTTAAAATTGCGTGTGTGTTACTCTCGATATAATTTGCTTTAATATTAGTAGGAATTATTCGATAATACATAGATATCTTATCAAATGGTTGTGATCGATCACAACCTATGCTGCACGGACACCTCTAGGAGGTGAAGAGTCTCCGTATCCGATACTTGGATATGCTCAGACACGCCTCGGACACCCGTGTCAGGCCGTGTCGTAATTTCGCTAAAAGTAGGACACACGTGTCGGACAGTTTCCGCAATTTTAAAAAAGTTGGGATACGGCTCTTATGCTTTAAGAGAAAGACCTAATAAAAAATACGCATTTTCTTTTCTTTGAAACACATATTTCATCTGTCGTTTTTGAGAGTTCACCCAAAAGTCCAAAACTCTAGCGACAACAGCGACCAAGAACATGAGCAGCAAGAGCGAGCGGCACTCTAATGCGATTTGGCGACTTATAAATATATTTTTACATATTATAAATGTATCCCTATATTTTTATAATTTATAAATATACCCCTATATTTTTTATATTTATATGTATCCCCGCGTGTCCGTATCCTAGTTTTTTGGAAATGCCGTATCACCGTGTCCGTATCCGCGTATCGCCGTATCCGCGTATCCGTGTCCGTATAGCATAGATCACAACGCTTCGCTAAAACAATATAATGCTGACGTCACATTACCGCTTCGCTTTAATTACGTAAAACAAGATTAAGATCACTTTAAAATCTCGAATACTTACCAAGAGCAAAATCGAGATCACATCAAATGGCCACCGTCTTCTGTTAGTTCCTTTTTACCAAACATCAAAATAAGGGTTCCATCAAAATTTGATTAATAGCTAGATCATGCATCTAAAAATAAAAAAATAAAAAAAATAAAAAGAAATTGAAATTTCCAAGTGGTGATGATGGCAACAAGCATATTATACATCAGCCGACATACACCCACACACTCCAGGACACAAAGTTGCCACGTCATCACTTCATTATCTTATTAACTAGGCGTGCTTATTATTACCTAGATTATCTTATTTTTTAATAACTCATCATCACCCACTAATCACACTAATTATTTCAACTTAGTTAGGCCTAATGACATGTAAATCACCAAATCTCACACGGCTAATAAACTTAACGATTCTATCCCTCATAATTTTTTATTTTTTATTTAATAATAATAATAAGTAGAAGAAAGAAAAATAATTAACTATTCTCAGACATCATAAATATATAACGACGTGTCCCCACGTGTTCAACGTTGATTAATTTTGTCAACTATGTATCCTTCAACGGCAGTTAGGCATGTATATTGAGCATATCTACTATTACTTTATATATAAAAAATATATATATTAATAAATAAATAAATAAATTGCCTCTAAATAAATTATCAACACACCTTATAACAACAGTACACTAATTTCCGACAACAACATTCCAAAATCTCCATCCTCAAGTTTTCATTAATCTCTCCAAAAAAAAATAAAAATTCCTTAATTACCTTCTTTAACAAGAAAATGTGGTGCTCAAAATTCGACATACTTTCGCTAATCATACTATTCTACGTAGCGCATTCGGAAAACGATGCTGGATTGTTCGAAGATCGAGCATCGCTCCTCTCGTTCATGTCGGGAATCACCAAAGATCCCGAGAATATTCTCGACACATGGAACACTTCCGAGAACTACATGCATGTCTGCAAATGGTCGGGTGTCGGCTGCGACGGCATGAACAAGAATAATAATAGAGTCGTCGAGCTTAACTTGAGCCACAAGTCTCTAAAGGGCAAACTCTCACCGGCCCTTTTCAGCCTATCGCAGCTAGCGATTCTCGATTTATCCGGAAACTTCTTCCACGGCCAAATCCCGCCTCAAATCGGCAATCTTTACGAGCTGAAAGAGCTAAGTCTATCTTCGAATCTTCTAGAAGGAAACATCCCATCTGAAGTAGGGTTTCTTCCTCGATTAGTGTACCTCGATCTCGGAAGCAATAAACTTTTCGGTACGATCCCTTCTTCGATTTTCTGCAATAATATTTCATCTTCTCTTCAATATCTCGACCTATCGAACAACTCACTAAGTGGCGAGATCCCTTTAAATACGGAGAATAGTGATCAATGTGGGCTTAAAGAGCTTAAGTATCTCCTTCTCTGGTCGAACCGTCTCGTGGGAAAAGTCCCTTTTGCCCTTTCGAACTCTTCGAAACTCGAGTGGCTCGATTTGGAGACGAATTTGTTCACTGGAGAATTACCCTCCGATATCTTGAGCCACATGCCGAATTTGAAATTCTTGTACTTATCGTACAACCACTTTTCGAGCCATAATGACAATACTAACCTCAAACCCTTTTTTGCATCTTTAGCCAACTCGTCTAACTTGCAAGAAATCGATTTAGCCGGTAATTATCTCGGAGGAGAGTTGCCTTCTATTATTGGACACCTCTCTTCTCTTGTACAAATCAACCTCGATACTAATCTTATTTACGGTCCGATACCCCCACAGATTTCGAATATTGTCAATCTCACCCTCTTGAATCTCTCTAGCAATCTATTCAATGGCTCGATACCCTCTCAGCTTTGCCACATGGCGAAACTCGAGAGGCTATATTTGTCGAATAATTCACTCTCCGGTGAAATTCCGGCCTCCTTTGGCGACATGCCTCATTTAGGTCTTCTAGACTTGTCGAAAAACAAACTCTCCGGTACGATTCCAGATAGCTTTGCCAACCTTGTACAGCTAAGAAGGCTTCTTCTATACGAAAACGAGCTCACGGGGAATATTCCTACGAGCTTAGGCAAATGCGTAAATTTAGAAATTCTCGATCTTTCTCATAATCGAATATCGGGTACGATTCCCGGTGAAGTGGCCGGTTTGAGTAGCTTGAAGCTGTATTTGAACTTGTCGAGTAATTTCTTGCATGGGAATATTCCATTGGAGCTTAGCAAAATGGATATGGTTCTTGCTATTGATTTATCGTCGAATAATCTTTCGAGTCTTTTGCCATCTCAGCTCGGAAGCTGTATTGCTCTTGAGTACCTCAACGTTTCGAGCAACGGTTTGGAAGGAGAGTTTCCGGAAGCTATCGGAAGTTTGCCCTACCTCAAAGTGCTCGATATTTCGTTCAATAAGTTAAATGGCGAGATACCGCACTCTCTTCACGCATCACCAACACTCAAGGTACTCAACTTTTCTTACAACAACTTCCACGGAAACATAACCGACGAGGGGGCATTTTCGTCACTAACCCTCAATTCTTTCTTGGGAAACGAAGGGCTCTGCGGTTCGATAAAGGGTATGAGAAAATGCCCTAAAGGGCGAACTCGTCATTTCTTGATTGCGATTCTACTCTCGTTAATCATCACTCCCATCTTCTGCATAGTTGGATGGCGATCAAAGATCCGACCCCACTTAACCGTTTTAAAAAACGGGAAAAAGGGCGTTATCGTCAAAGACGAAGAAGAAGCTTCTAGAGATAATAACAATCAAGAGGTCAAATACCCAAGAATCTCGCGGCGGCAGCTTCTAGAAGCTACCGGAGGGTTCAGCGGGTCCAGCCTGGTCGGTTCCGGAAGATTCGGACACGTATACAAGGGTGTTCTCAAAGACAACACTCAAATAGCGGTTAAGGTACTCCATGCAAAATCGGCAGCCGAATTATCGGGCAGCTTTAAGAGAGAGTGCCAAGTCTTGAAAAGAACAAGGCACAGAAACTTGATAAGGATAATAACTACATGCAGTCGGCCCGATTTTAAAGCCCTCGTCTTACCGTTGATGCCTAACGGTAGCCTCGAGGACCATCTTTATCCGGGCTCGTTGAAAAATATTAACGGCCTCGATTTGGTTCAGCTTGTGAGGATTTGCAGTGACGTGGCGGAAGGGATGGCTTATTTGCACCACTACGCGCCGGTGAAGGTTGTGCACTGTGATCTTAAGCCGAGTAACATTCTTCTCGACGATGATTTCACGGCTTTGGTTACCGACTTCGGGATCGCGAGATTGGTTAAAGGCGGTGGTGATGAGAGTGGCTCTTGTGGTGTTGACGATTCGGTGTCGTACGATTCTACCGACGGATTGTTGTGTGGCTCGGTTGGTTATATTGCTCCCGGTTAGTAATTTTTTTTATCCGATTTTTTTTCTTATTTCTCCATTATATTTCAAGACTATTGCCTTATTTTATTTTAATTTTTTTAAAAATTTAGAATATGGAATGGGAAGGCATGCTTCGCCGCAAGGAGACGTATATAGCTTCGGAGTTCTTCTACTTGAAATAGTAACGGGAAAACGGCCGACGGACGTTCTTTTCCAAGAAGGTTCGAGCATGCACGAATGGGTCAAGAGTCAATACCCTAACAAGCTCGGGCCAATCGTCGAAGGAGCAATGGTGAGGCGGGCCCCACGGGGGCCCGTTCCGTTTGATAGGAAGATATGGGCCGATGTGATATTGGAAATGATCGAACTCGGATTGATATGCACGCAGTATAATCCGGCCACGAGGCCTAGCATGCTTGATGTTGCTAATGAAGTTAGCATTTTGAAGCAATGTCTTTGTGCTAGTCCTTCAAATTTAGTTGTTGAAGATGCTAATTCAATAAATTAAATTTGAGTTTTTTTTTTTTTTTTTTTTTTTTTTTTTGTTTTGTTTAATGTATTTGCATAAAAGAAAGTTTTGGATAGATGATGATCATGATCAAAGTTTTCAGCTAATATTTTTTGTTGGGATTTGGTCATGATCAATTAGGTGTATGTGATTGGATTAAGGAGAATAGAAAGTAGATTAGTGAAATAGTGAAAATGTTAGGTGAAATAATTTTATTTTTCATTTCCTTGTCATTCCTAAAGTTTTGATCCTACTGCAGTCTTACTCGATTAATTGTAAAACGTGTCCAAACAACGACCACATCTTCGATTTGTCACACGATCAATTTCGTCTTTGGATCCTCACACAACACACACAGTGGCGGAACCAGCATATGACTAAGGGAGACCGTGGCCCATTTCATTTCTCAAATCTCTATATTTTATATGAAAATACGAAAAATTTCGTGTATAATAGCATTAATAGGCCCCCTTCAAAAAAAATTAATGCATTTGGCTCCCGCAAATTTTAAATCCTAACTCTGCTAGTTCTCACACATACCCATGTGGGCGTGTGTTGATCCAATGGAGCTACACGAGATGCACACGTTAGTGCACCTCGTATAGTGTCGTAAAGACCGCGCTAAATTATGTACTGCATTGCGTTTGGCTAATTGCTACTTAATTATGCAAGCAAACCAACCAAATGCTGCCTTTTGGTTGTTCACAAAGACACAAATAATCATTCGTCGATCTTTCTTACTAGCAAGAATGAATCATGAATGGACACACAAATTTACACTTTTGTGCTTAATCATTTAATCAATCAATATTTTATTAGCTTAATTGTCATTGGTGACAGTGCTAATCATGCGCTGCATAGTCGAATTGCACTTAAATCTGTTCTTTGAGCCTACCATTAAGAAAATGCTTAAAGTTTTAATTCACAAAAAAAAGCTAGTGGAAGGTTGGAATTACCCAATTCACTAATTAACTCCTAAATCAAATGATGATCATATATTGCACTTAGAAAACCTTCATGACTGAGTAGCCAATATATATTTATATTTGGCTTTAATAACAAGGCCTAAATGTTTAATGCATGTGTCCTAAGATATTAAACATCAACCACAAATTAAATTAAAGTAATGAAAAAAAATGATAATGTTTAAAGTATGCCAAATAAAAAATAAATGATTCAGAAATGTGGTGGTTGTGTGTGAAACCTCTTTGATTTAGTATTTGGGTAATAACACTTAACTCCATCTGGTTAGTTTTGTGCACGTGAACTCCTTATACTTTCAATGTAAACACATGATCCCCTATAGTTTGAATTTTATCAAAATGATTCCCGTGTACTTTAAATATGAGCACATAATTCCCTTAGGCCTTATTTGCTTAGTGCTATTAAGAGTTATTAACTAAATAGTAGGGGTTAGTAAGATATTTGGCTAATGAGATTCGTATTTAGTCAAACCCGCATTAAATACTATTATTTGATTAAATTAGTAGCACCCCATGCGATGAATTTTATAGGGGTGATGAAAAGAGTTAAAATACTTTTTAGACAATTCACATTTAATACCAGAATTCAACAAATTTAATACAAGATTTAATCTTACAAATCAAACATCGTAGTGACTAAATAATTAATCATTAGGATATTAATAAAATCTCACTTAATCCAATGTAATACGATATAGGTAAGCAAACGATGTTGTATGGTATTCCATTTGGTAAATAATCATGCTGATTAGGAAGAAGAAATTTTTGAAAATACAAAAGAGTTATGTATTTATATTGAAAGTACAAGGAGGTCATGTGCATAAATCTCAAACCACTGGTGTTAAGTGCTATTTTTTTTAACCTTAGTATTTTGATGTACTTTTTGCCTACACGACCACCTTCCACTTGTGTTATGGATTAAGTTTCTGAGATGTTCATTGGCCTCTTTGAGCTAGTTGATAATCTAATCATCGATGCATTAATAGATAATTGCCTAACTCACTTAATTTACTAGTGTTCAAGTTCATCCCGTTTTGTTCTTACAAAAAATAAAAAAATCATCCCCTTCATGAATCAAAACTACTGCAAGTGTAATGACGGGTGGCGGAATCAGAATTTTATCCTTGTAGAGACTAGATATACATAAAACAATTATATAATGGAAGCTTACAATACTACATTACTCGAAAAATAACATATTCCTATATAAAATAATAGACTTCGCACAAGAAATAGGGGAACCATGGCCCCCTCGACTCTGTGCTAACTGTGTCACAAATCATGGCCCCCTCGACTCTGTGCTAACTGTGTCACAAATGATGATTACAATAGTCTAGACCCTGTAAAAAAAACGAGGATGCGGCAGGCGGCAGCCAATTCTAGCACACCAGGTGTATCATGTAGGTGCAATTACTTGGTGTGGTCTTCTTTTACCTTATGTAGGTGAAAAAGTTGCTAATGTCATCAAATGTGATTTAATCTCATAAGTATTAAGATTTTTATGTGTATTTTACTAGTAAGTAACACACATGACTTTTTCCAACAATATCATAAGTTTAAGATTTTATATTGACATTGTGAAATCCATACACACGCTTCTACCACGTGCACAATTGCTGACAAACTCAAGCTAACGTATAATATTTATTAATTTTACTAATAAGCAAGGGTGTATACATTGCTAGGAAATCTTTTTATGGCCTCTGAACAAATAATTGTACACAATTTTTTTTAGAACTCTACTAGTTGTCGCAGCGTTTCCCCTTTGCCCTGCATGCCAGTTTTAGTTATTTTCTGACCGGAAACCTTCCGTTTGCACATGCGTGCGTTTTTACTAAGTGCGCATGAAAGATTTAGGGGGCAAAGAGCAAAAATACATTTAAAATCAAGAACGGGTTATATCTTATAGAAAAAACTTAAATTTTTTAAGGGCGACAAGTTGAACGGGGAACACATGAGTATCCCATATCCTATGGGAACGTAGGAAAACGTGTAAATAAAGAAAATATAGTACTATATTCATAAATTCTGAAAAGTCATTCTAAACATTACCATATGTGCATTGTTCTAGAAGATGTGTACCAAAATTATATATAGAAATTACAAGTGAAAATATGAATTGTCAGTCCACTATTACGAATGGGGCGGAGAAATAAGTTTCGGTATAGGACTAGTAGATGACATGTTTCTTGCGTACATGTGAGAAGTGCTTCTCTCGTTGCGTGAGAGAAAAAGAGACATAAGATGTAAGGTTATATCAAAATGTGGGCAGTTTGGACAAAGTTTTGGATTTTCCGGGTCGAAACGTGTGTCCATTTTTTCATCAATTAGAGAAACGCACTCGAAACTTTATAATTTACAAAAACGGCCCTTAAACGTTTCGAGGGAGTGTCATGGTGTTCCGATTTCCAAAACATATCGAAAATGTGGAGACATATTTATTATATAGAAGTTTCCGTGCATCCTAGTTCATAAGTTTCAAATGCAAATACCAAACTTCGAAATACAATGTCAAACTATCACCACATTAAAAGCCAAAATGTGTGATCTTAGTCTATACATAATACATTAATCAAACTTTGAACTAAAAGCTAAAAACAACCCAAACATTTTCCGAAAATTTCCAATAATGTAAAATCATAATTTCTGAAAATTGCTGAAATTAATGAAATCAGAATTAAGATCAATTTTTTTTCACTTCCCTCATTTATTTTGCAAATTTCAAGAACTATTTTTTTATGATCCAATCGGTCCCATTTCAAGTCGTAATTGTAAAAGTTCGAGGTTTAATAAGAAAGTGTAGAAAAAAAAAATTTAAACGCACAAGTTAAAACGTGCTCCAGATACAAATGTATACGTAGTGCATCACTACATTTATGTGACTGGGTTATCTTAGTGTTAATTAAAATTTCGGGCCGAGCTCATAAAACTTTACTTGAGCAGGAGAAAGCTCGACTCAAACTCAACTCATTCCACACAATTTTCAAGAAACAAAGTGAAAATGCGCAAGACACTGAAGAAATATGATATATATATGTTTCTGTAATTAGTACTTACAGTTACAGTAAAGCTTTCCACAAATCGTAACTCATTTGCTTATACAGCACTGTAGTGATGAAAGAATGTCTTCGACCTGCTGTCACTCAAATACAACATACACACAAATTATTTTTTTAATCTATTGAACGAAATCCGTTCACAGAACGAAATATATGTATGTTAATCGTTTAATCTTCCACAAAAATTATGCAAAAAAAAAAATAATAACTAACTAAATGAGATATCTATTTTCATTATAAGCAGTTCATCCTGGAGAAGCTAAGTGTTTTAAGCCGAGTTCAGCAGAAGACAGAAACTTGATAGCAAATTAAGATTCACTAATCCGTAATTTAAACATGTCTACAATAATTTTAATTCAACATAATGAAATTTTTGGAAAAAGATTCGCATGTTTTTCATATGATAGCATAGATTTGGTAACAACATCGAGATCACATAAATTAATAAAAAAAAATTAAATATAACAATCAACATGTTAATTGAAGGGCTCGACTAACCTTGTCATTTGAAGAAGCAGCTCATCTTGCAACTCCATAAGGAATGAACCAAATCGAATAATTGCAAATCGGCACATAAAAAAAAAAAGTACTAGAAAAAAATGTTCGATAAGTTTTCATGCAGTAGGCAAATCAAAAAAATCCGGATATCATTCATATTTAGTAACGAGTATACATTCGAAAAGTGTGAAAAAAAATCTCTCTTTTTTTTCCATTTGAAGAAAAAGTCGAGACACGTGACAGGACCGGGACACACCACTCCTATCAAGCTATTCAATATGTATCAAAGAATCGTCGTATGCTTCTTATATACACAAAAGAAAAAGAAAAAATCACAATCAACTCCACAATGACAAACAAAAAAATCAATGCAAGAAAGTTTATTTTGTACACACAAAAATCAGGTGTTGTGTTAGGCAGAATATACACACACGGTTTGTACACGTCAAATGTCGAACATTTTCAGCTCCATCAAAGCCAAAAGTGAAACATCGCCTGTAATAAAATAAAAATAAAAAAATTATTTTCTTTTCTTCTAAATTTCAGTATAAAAATTAACATTTGCAGGGAAGAAGTTAAAAAAAATAAAAAATAGAAGGGGGGAAAAAAGAAAGGCACCTCCGATAGAGAATGTAGAGACGAGTTCTCTCTCGTGGACGATTTATTTCCTTTCTGACACCTAACCTCGTCCTGTAATAAACTTATTTGTTCCTTAATCTCTTTCAACAATTTCAATACTTCCTCTCTGTTCGAATTTTCCGACACCCTCTCAATTTCACTAACCCCCAAAGCCCGGTTATTCAAATCGGGCCTACATTGAGCAACACTCGTAGAAGGCTGTACAACAAGAGCTCGATCAATAGCAGTAATATCACTCGGTCTATACAATAATTTCTTCAGCCAATCAGATTCATCTTTAGCATGAAGTTTAACAGCTTCTCTGCTTTCAAGAATCTCACTAGCTTGAAAAAAACCCGTCTTTTTCTTGTCCTTACTCGAAGATTCGTAAGAAGTGTCGATGCTCCTATCGACTTGTGGGACCTCAAAAACATCAAGAACCACACTCGTAGAAGCTGCATACGGATTATTTTCTTGATCTTTATTCGTGTCGAACGAATTGTCAAAGCTTAGCTGCGGCGAGGGCGAACGAGTTCGATTATTATTCGCCGAGCTCGTGTCAATAGCAAACTCTTTGACCTGTAAACCCAATTTCCGTATCTGTTCCTGCAAGCTAGGACTTTCGCTTTTCTTGTCTGATGAATCCGAGGTTATAAATTCGTTTATTTCTTCGAATGAAGAAAGCCCGTCAATTTCCGGGCTAGCATTGCTATCTCTTTCGATCAGAGCCCTATTGAATTTGACCAAAAGAGGCGCCGAATTTCTCCTCCCAAGACTTGTATCACAAGCTACATTTTCGTTTCTCTGCAAAAGATCTGCACATCCCATGCTCAAGAGCTTGTATCTATAGGCTTCAACTTGGTAAGACAACGCAGCGACTTCCATATCCTTTTGGTGGAAGATATCTTGGATTATCGCTAAAGATTCCTCCACGTGGCACATTTTTTCTTCGGCTACTCTCTTGTACTGCTCTGCTTCCATTTTCACGGCGGATTTTTCTCCTTCGAGGCGTTGTATTTTGGATACTGTCTCCTTGGTGGCAGTGGCTGAGGCCTCTCGTTCGGCATCGAGCTCGTTGTAGAGTTTCTGGAGAAGCTTCTGCTGCGCGTAGAGAGTTTCTTTTAGAGCGGAAACCTCGTCTGGTGACATCACTGTGCTGTTATAATCAGCCATCGTACATCTGGATTTTGTAAAGCAAATAAACGAGTTAATAAAATCGAGCAAATTTCAACTACAAAAGATTCGCCATGTTTTCTGATAAATCACTAACTACATTATCATGGAATGTTTAAAAGCTGAAATAGTCTATTCGATCTACCGAAACAACGGTCATACAATTCGACGATCGAGAAACACATTGTATGATCATACATA